TCATCTCTTTCTTCTCCTTCTAGAATCCCTTGTATGCACAGATCAGCACACTTTGTATTATACCCAAATTCTCTTATATTGCTTTCATTTTTTTTTAATTTGATTTTTCTCTCTAGTGTTTTAATTGGGTAATTTCCATTACTCTGTTTTTAAGATAACTGATTCTTTATTCTGCATTATTCATTCTGCTGTTCTTTGCCTTTAGTTCTGCTTTCATCTCAGCAAATGAATTTCCTAATTTTTCTTGTGTCTGCTTTATAGTTTGTAGTTCCTCCTTACAGTAATCTGCATTTCTGTTCACAGCATTTTTTCATTCCTTAAGTATTTTCATTACCTCCTTTTTGAACTTGGTTTCAAACTCATTATCTATAAAATGTTACAGAAAAACCCAAATGAACTTTTTGACTATCCCAATATTATACAGAAGAGGTCTGTTTCATTATTTGTTCCATCAGGATAATTCTCATAGTCTTTTAACTGGGAATGGTTCCTCTGAGCCTGCATTATGTGTACATTCCTCTTATTTTTTGAGTTAGGAGAAACAGTTATCTACTGTATAGTCCTGGAGGGCTATTTATATGCAGGACTTTCCTAATTCATGGCTTGACCCCCTCACTCCCTAAGTAGAATCCCTGAGCCCAAGTTATCCTCCTCTTCTGTGTCTCCTGCTAAAGGGGTCAGCCCTGACCTGATCACTCCTCACACATTCCTGAGTCTGTGTCTTTCTTTACAGCCTTGGCTGTAGAACAAGGGTTCAGCTTGTCCTCAAGTGAATTTAGCTAGAGTTGCTTTATATTTTTTGTAATTTTGATGTTTTCGTGAGCATTCTCCCACTCTGCCATCTTGATCTCCTCTACCCTGAGATCCTCTTAATTGCCATTAACAAGAATTTCAGCCTCTTCAGTCCCAGAATCAAGGTGAGCAGTGACAGGGAAGAGCAGGGGAGGGTGGGCTTCTCTGTCTGCACGTCTAACAAAGGATCCCAGACCCAAACCCAAAAGACCTTTCTAGTCACCATCATCCTCACTTTATCCACCCTCCTGGCCATGCATCTTGAGAGGTTGTCTGTGTTTGCTGTGTCTAGTTCCTTACCTCTCATCTCTCCATCGAAACTGCTCTCTGAGTTATGAACAAAGTCCTCACTATTAAATCCATTCAACTCTGTTAGTGCTTGGTCTTTCAAGACACTACCACCCACTTCCTCCCTCCAGAATGCTCTCTGCCCACATTCGTCGGGGTGGCAGGCTGTGCTGGGGTAACTGTGCTCAGTTGTCAGGGCCTGAGCAGTTCCTACCAAGGGGGCAGAGTCCTCCCACTGACACAGGAGGGCACATGGGGCTGCTGGCGAAGGCGGCGATGACCACCATCTTCTCCTTGGCTCCATGGGCCCACTCGCCTGGCTTTCCTCACATCTGCCTTGGTCCTCGCAGGCTTCTCTGCTCTTCTCTACTTCCCTGGGCTGCATCTCTACCAGCCCACACTCTGTGTTCCCCAAGGTGGTGTCTTCTCGTATCCCTCTTCCAGCTTCACTGGATCACCTCATGTGGGACCATAGTTTCTTGAAGCTCTTAAATTCCAGTAGTGGCCCCACACACCTGACGGCCTCCTGGGCTTCCTTGGAGGTCCCTCTAGCTGGTCCCAGCCACGGCCTGCCTCGCACAGAAGCTCTGTGGCACAGCTGGACTCTACCCTCTGGCTTCTTTCCCTGTCTGAGGGCCTGAGGTCCTTCATGCGGGTGGTGTCTCTGGGCTGGAGCAGAGGACAGAGAGGCCAGACAGTCCAGTTGTGCAGCTTCAGACTCTCTCTGCTCCCCTAGGACATCTTGACCAGTCACCCCTTCACCAAGTTCTCCAACTGGAGCAGCAGCAGCACCTTCTTCCACATCACCACAGGAAACCTGATACATGGGAGCAAACTCTGTGAAACATCACTGGTGAGAGCACTTCCTTCAGGCCTGGGGGGCTCCCTAGCCCTGCTTGCAGCTTCAGCCATCCTCCCAGCCCCCACATCACAGAAGTGTGCAGCCTAGCCTATAGTCAGGATCAAGTTGGAGCTAAGGTTAGATCAGGTTAGGTCTGGGGTAGGGGCTTAATCTAGAGCTGAGGAACACATCACCCACTCAGTAACTATGTCCCAGTGCCTTTAACATTTAGAGATTGAGCCTTTGGTCATCGAGGTTGACAGAGCCATTAGCAATGAGACCTCCTGGACTGAGCTCAACTGGTACAGCCTTTACAATCACTCCTGGAGACAGGCATCCAGGATTTGAGGGACCCACAAACTAGCACCTTAATGTGGGCGTCACAATAAGTTAGAACCCTAGATGTCTGGATGGATGAATCCACACCTTCAGCTGTCTGGCTGGGGAGGCTGAGCCCGAGGGGGGCAGGATTTGTCTTTGTCCAGGCTTCTGTCCACTGCAGTTTCCTGGGAGCTGTCTGTGCTCTGGGTCTGAGTGGACGGCCGTGTCCTTCAAGGTGCTCTGTTTATCTTCTTGCTGCTGTTGTCAGGGCTACAAGGTGGATGACCGCCCGACTCCCTACATTAGCCAGATGCTCACAGCCATGAGCAAACAGTGAGGCTCCAGGAGTGGCGAGTGACCAGGGGGAAGGCGGCTCTGGCCCCGTGCCTACTCTCTCAGCCTTATGGGCTCAGGACCATCAGCGACCTCCGCAGCCGAGGGAAGACCTTGACTACCCAGGCAGGGAGGTTGGGCTGGCTGGCCACCACTGATGGCACCACCGCGGCCTCTGACCCTTCTTCCAGGGAGGTGGCCTTGCCAGGAGGCAGAACTCCCTCCATCCACCCTGAAGCACCTGGTTGGTTCTACTCCTGGCTTGCTGTGACCTTGCCATTCTAAGAGCCTGGGCTCCTCGGATGTCATTTGTAACTAGACTAGTCCTACCATGGGACTAGTGTACATGGTCTGGAAACGTAACCAAGTGGATGACCTAGTCCTCCATGCTGGGAACAATCAAACCAAGATTATCCTGAAACCTAAGGGACTGGGTTAATTCCCCAAACTCCAGGAGCCTCAGCTGGTGTGAGGGAGACAGAACACTTTTATATATAACAGTGAAAGCTGAGCCACTGCTCAAATCTCTCCTGATGACTTCAGACATAAAGCCTGTGTTTATCTTCTGCCTGTAGTGTCTTTGCTGGTGGGAAGAGGGACAGGGTATTGTGTGGGGCCAGGACAGGGTCCTGTTGGTGAGTGATCTATATAAGCATCTCTGTGTTCTGCAAGTGCAGGGTCAAGCTAGTCTGGGATTGGGGGTTGGGGAGCCTGAGCCCACAGTGTGCTTGAAAGGGGCTTAAAGGGATGGGCTGGGACCAGGGCAGGATGGGCAGGGCAATGCTGCATGTCATCCTGGAAGGTGGAGACCTACGTGTGGTTGGCTGGAGATCCAGAGGGGGAACCAGCTTCTGTGCCTTACCTAGGGCCAGTGGGTCCAGAGTGGCACTTGAATCCTGCCAGAAATATCTCCTTGGTCAATCAAGAAACCTCCAAGAACCCCAGAACCTCCAAGAACCGTGCTGCCTGAGGTTAAATCCTTATGTCCAGTGGGAGCCTGTAAAATATTACTTTGTGACCAGGATGGAACAACCAAGTCTGGACATGACCTGGGCAGCTCTGAGTGGGGTCTTCAGACAAAGAAGGTGTGATGTGGGGCGGGACATCCCTTTGGCCTGTGGCTAGGCTGGGAGCCTGGGGATTTGGCAGGGGATAATCCTCTTGCCTCTGGCATGTTAGGGATCTGCCCCTGATACTTCAGCACAGCCAGCCCAGCTCACTTGTCCTCAAATGCTCAGGAGTCTGGGGTCGCCTGCATGTAGGTGACAAACCACTCCACAGGGAGTGCTATTCCTGGTCTCCAGATGCCTGTGTGGGAGGGGGAGAGGCTGTTGCTGAAACAAAGTCCCAAAACCAGAGAGCCCTGCTTTCTGGGATGACAATGCAGCCATCTGAGGCAGCCCTGCCCCACCACAGTCAGCCCAGGATAAACCTGAGCCACAGGGAAGGTGCTGTGGTGTCTGCCCCTGCCCATCACCGTATACACGGGAACATGAGCCCTGGACAAGGAGGGTGAGTAGGTGATGGTCACACAGTGGAACACAACTTCCTGCTTCTAACACAGGGTTCAGAGCTCGAGTCAAAAGTCAGCTTCAAGGTCAAAAGCCACTGGGCAGGCATGGGATTCTGCCCATCACCCCACTGGGAAATCGGCCAGCGACAAGCTATGAGGAAGCATTTCATAGGTGAGTGGGTGACAGGACGGTGAGTGGGCTGAGAGCTTTGCCCCCGCTCATGCCCATGCCACCTCTCCTTCTCTGACTCTGGACGGCATCACTCTGGAACTCCTCCCTTGACCCTGTCAGCCTGAGTGACGGCAGAGGGCCCCAAAGATTGTTATCAATTACCTTCCCAGTTCCTGAGAGGCCGCCTTATTTACAGGCTGACGTTCACCACAGCCGCTCCTTCAGAGGGGAATATTATGAAGGGTCAGGATGAGACAGACCCTCCAACACCCAGAGAGAAACCAGCTCCAGCTCCAGGACCACACTCTTGCCCCCTGCTCATCACCTGGAGAGAAACCAGCTCCAGCTCCAGGACCACACTCTTGCCCCCTGCTCATCCCATGGAGAGGAAAGGTGAGGCCAGAGTGGTTTTCCTGAGAGCCTCCCTGGCTCTTCCGCACCCCTTTCCTGACATCTCTCCACCATCAGGTCACCCTGGGCACAGAGAAGGAGAAAAAGGAGAAGGAGGCAAGTTGTGGCTAATTATTCTTTGAAGACAGCCCAAAAGGGGGAGAAGGACATGCCAGATGTGGTAGAACCATCATAAAAGAGGATTGCTGGGGGGAGTCAATGATGGGGGGCTTTTCAGGTTACGATTCAGGAGGAGGCTTCTCCACAGAGGGAACCGTTGGTTCGTTTGCCTCCAAGGTAGGCAATACAGTTTGGAGGGTGGCCTCTCTGTTGGCTTCCGAAGTAGGTGCTTAGATGGGTTCAAAGGCTGGCCCAGTGGGCACTGGCTGTCCAACGTCATCTGTGGGATGCATGGTTGGTGCAGTGGTTTCCTTGACAACCTCTGGTATAATGACTTCAGAGTCTGGATATTTCCTTATGCTCTTGGTTAAAAGTCCAGGGATTTCCACAACTTCCAAAACTTCATCATGGAGGCTTACACTTGGAGTTTCTGTGGGACAGAAAAGAAAACAACACAGATTCTTTCCAAGTTGCTTCTCCAATCTTTGCCCGTCATGTGACAGAATCCTAGTCATCTTTAAAATGTCAGCTCCTCACTTACCATTTTAGATTCTTTCTCCCTAGTTCTCCTCCCTACCCAGCCTTTGGGCAGACTTTGCTATGGTCCTCAGTTTATCAAGGTGCTGGAGTTTAAGAGTCTATTGTGTGAGGTTCTCACTCAAATGGGAGCAGTCAGAAGGGTGAAATCAACATTTGCTTAAAGTTCATGGATTCCATAACCACTGCTTCCAAAGCAGCTTGAATAGAAAAATGAACACACCCTCCATTAAAATGAGAGCTTTTTAAGGACAGAGACTTTGTCTTGCTTGCTACCCCAAGTACAGTGCTCAGGAGTATCTGTCACACAGTAATTGCTCAGAAAATAGTTTTTTATTTTTTTCAATCTGAACAGTAGAAAAAATAGATTATGGAGACTTTTTCTAGTAATGCAGCTAGGAAATGGACTCTTATCAAAGACAAATTAGAAACTGGATACTGTGCAAAACCAAGAAGACATCTTAAATTTATCTAAGAATTTACAATATAATGAGGAAAAGTAGAGCCGAAATCTAGAAGAGAGTGAAAATCCAAAGAAGTCAGTCCAGAATCCAGTTATTTTTGCCCTGAGTGTAATTTCACTCTTGAAGAAACAGCTACACACATTAGCTTCACTTTTTTTGTCAGTTTCATAGAAAGAAGGGGATTTTTATTGCACTTGAATTGAATTTGTAATTCAACTCCATGATATCTAATATCTACAGTATTAAGTTTTTAAATTCATTTATGTGTTATATTGCTCCATTTATCCAGGTCTTCTTTTTCCTCATTAAACTTTTTGTAGTTTACAATGAACAATCATCTATCTTTGTAAGAGCTTACAATAATTTCCTAAAATTCCTAGTTAATGTTTTATGCTGTTATCAGTTCAATTTCAGTCACTAGACTGTGTCCGACTCTTTGCAACCTCATGGACTGTAGCACACCAGGCTTCCCTGTCCATCACCAACTTCTGGAGCTTGCACAAATTCATGTCCATTGAGTCCGTGATGCCATCCAACCACCTCATCCTCTGTCGTCCCCTTCTCCTGCCTTCAATCTTTCCCAGCATCAGGGTCTTTTCAAATGAGCCAGTTTTTCACATCAGGTGGCCAAGGTATTGGAACTTCAGCCTCAGCATCAGTCCTTCTAATGAATATTCAGGACTGATTTCCTTTAGGATTGACTGGTTTGATCTCCTTACAGTCCAAGGGACTCTCAAGAGTCTTATCTAACACCATAGTTCAAAAGCATCAACTCTTCGGTGCTCAGCTTTCTTAGTGGTCCAACTCTCACATCTATGTGTGACTAATGGAAAAACCATAGCTTTGACTAGACAGACCTTTATCAGCATTTATAACTTTGCTGTTATAAATGATGCTATTTCAATTTTTAAAGTTTCTAATTATTCACTAATAATATATCAACATACAATTGGTTTTTCTTTATATTGATCTTATATCCTGAGGCATTGCTTAAGTCACCAGTTGTAGTAGATTTGTTTGAATCTACTAAGGATTTGTTTGAATCCTTAGAATTTTTTAATGTCAATAATCATATCTTTGAATCAGGAGTTTCATTTCTTCCTTTATGCCTGTTGTTTACCTTACTAAACTAGCTAGGATCTCCAGTACAATGCCAAACAGCACTAGTAAAAGAGATATCCTCGCTTTATTTCTGATCTTAGAGAGAAAATGCTGTTTCACCATTAAAAATGATGTTGGTTGGAGGTTTTTTGTGTAAATATCTCTCATTCGATTGAGTAAGTTTCATTCCAGGTCTAGTTTTCTCAGAGATTTGAACATAGTTGATTTTGTCAAATATGCTTTTTCTATTTCATTAATATGGTAGATTAATTTGATTAACTCTCAAACGATAAATTCATCTTACACTGCTGGTATAAACCTCACTTGCTCCCGATATTTTATCCTTTTTTCTACTGATGGATTCAATGTGCTAATGTTTTGTTCAGGATTTTTATGTCTAAGCTCATGAAAGATATTCATTTATGAATTTAGTTATTGTACTCTCTTTGTCAGACATTTTTTATATGAGATTATTGCTGGCCTCAAAGAATCAGCCCCTCTTTTTTTCAGAGTTGGTATAAAATTGGTATTATTTATCAAATATTTGATTAGCCAATGTAACTTGTTGGGCCTGGACTTTTCTTTGTGGTAGATTTTTGATTCACAGATTTGATTCTGATAGTCAGTGAGTTACTACAAATTTCAGCTTCTTTCAGTTTGGATAAGCTGTACATTTCAAGGAAGTTGTCTACTTCATTTAACTTGTCAAATTTAATGGTTTAAAATGTTTATAATTTTTCTTTTTATTTCTAGGATTTGGATTTAGTCCCTCTTTCATTAATCATTCATCATACTGTCAATCAATTTCTCTTATCAAGAATTTATCAATCCTATTAATCTTTCCTAAGAACAAACTTTCACTTTGAAAAGTTTTTTTTTGTCTTTTGTATTCCATTGCTCCTATCTATATTATTTCCTTCCTTTTACTTAGAAAAAAATTTACTTAGCTTTTTTAAGATTGGTTACATATCGATCAAGTTTCTACCTTAACAATCTTTCTTCTAACATTTAAAGTTACACATTTCCCTCTAGGTTTGGCTTTATGCTGTACCCCACAAATTTTGCCATTATATAGGCATTATCCTTTAAAAATATTTTCCAATTTCCATTGTGATTAATCCCTTTATCAATGAACTGTTTAGAGATGCATTAATTTCAAGTATTTAGAGGACTATCTAGATATTTTATTGCTTCTAAGTTAATTCCTTTTGTGATCACAGAACAAAGTGTGTGATTTTGATCTTTTGAAATTTACTGATGACACAGTTTATTACATTTTCTTATTTTGGCATCCCTAATTATTGTAATTTTAGTCATTTTTACTACTTCTGTTTTTTTAATCTTCATACTTCCTTTATAAGTGATCCATCTCCTACCTTTATTATATATGTACATTTTTCAGTGAGATTTTTACTTTTGCATGCTTCCCTATTATCAGTTACTGCCATTTCTTTTCAACTTAAAGAACTCCCTTTAACATTTCTTATAGAACTGGTTTAGTGGTCATAAACCTCGTCTAGCTTTTTTTTTATCTGGGAAACTCTTGATCTCTCCGTCAGCTCTTGATGGGTAGAGAATTCCTGGTTGATCATAGTCAAGACCATTAATTTTAACTCTTTATCAAGTAGACTTCTTATCTTGATTTCTTTAGTTCTTTTTCTGAGATTTAGTCTTGTTATTTTATTTGGAACATATTTCTCTCTCCCCTTATTTTGCTTAATTCCTTCTGCATGAGGTAAATCAGCAAACTCTTCTAGATTCATTTTATGGCTAGCAATGTACATTTGAAAATGTTGTGTATTCTGTAGTTGTTAAATATATCTTCTGTCAATTAGGTCACATTCACTGAAAGTATTCAAATATCTTTTCTGATTTTATTTTTTGGGTGTTTAGTTGTTCTTTCAGGTAATGAGAGAAGAATCTTAAAATCTCTAAGTATGATTTCTCTCTTTCAGCTTTTGTTTTATTTTGAAACTCTGCTATTAAGTATATATAGTGACTTCCTGATACATCAACCATTTTATCATTATGAAATCTTTATTTCTAACAATGCTCCATGCTTTGAAGTTTTTTCAGATATTATTTCTGAGGCTTATTGTTTACATGGCATATTATTTTCTATCCTTTTGGTTTTACTCTGTGTTTTTGTATTTTAACTATTTCTTTTGTAGATAGCATATGTGTTGGTCCTGCTTCTATCCAGTCTGACAATTTCTACACATGTTTTGAGAATTCGGTTCATTTATATTTAATGTAATTAATAAAATGGCTGAATTTATGACTACCATGTTTCAACTTGTTTTCTATTTGTTTTGTGTATCATTTTGTTTCCTTTGTTTTCTTTTTCCTCAATCCATCTGCTATGAGAGATATTTCCCTGCTGGCCTTGAAGAATTAAGATGTCATGCTGTGAAAAAGCCTTATGACTAGGACCTGAAGGTAGTCTCTAGGATCTTAGAGCAAAACTATTCCAAGAATGATTAAGGGAAAAAAAAGAAAAAAAAAAAAAAGAATGATTAAGGAGACATGGATGGCTTCAGTCTTGCAATTGTAAGGAACTGAATTATGCCAACAACCCATGAGCTTGGAAGAGGACTCTGGAGTCTCAGATGAGATTGCAGCCCAGGCCAATACCTTGATGTTATCCTCATGAGACCTCATACAGAGGACTCAGCAAAACTATGCCTAGACTCCTGGTCCAATCAACTGTAAGATGATAAATTTGTGTTTTTTTGAACTGCTAGGTCTCAGGTAATTTGTTACATAGAAATTAAAAACTAACCATACAGTAATACAATATTTCCAAAATGAGCACAAAATTAAATAGGCTAGGGACTTCCCTAGCATGGCTAAGACTCCATGCTTTCAGTGCAGGGGGCCCAGGTTCACTCCCTGGTCAGGGAGCTAGATCCCACATGCTGCAACTAGGAGTTTGTGTGCAACAACTAAAAATCCCACATGCCACAACTATGACCTGGTACAGTCAAAAAAATTAAGTATGCTAAAAATAAAAACAAATGGTCTTGGCAACCCATGGGATAATAAGAAACCACCTAACATCTAACAGCTAACCACCTAACTGAAAGAGGATAGTGACAGAAAAATATGAGAAAAAATACAGACTGAAAATTTATACTTTTACTGATCTAAGAAGTTCAGCAAGATAAACACACTCATATACACTAAGGTAAATCATAATCAAATTACTTAAAACCAGTGGTAAAAGAAATAATCCTAAAAAGTAGCCAGAGTAAGAGAACATGTTAGAAGTAGAGGAACAATGATAAAAAACAGAAGACTTCTTTTTTGGAAGACTTTTCATAAGAAACTACTAGATATAGAAGACAAAAATTGGACTCTTTTTAAAGGGCTAAAAAATATATCCTAAATCTAGAGAGGTGGCAGCAGCAGGACATGCCCATCTCTGAGGTGGTCGTGATGCAGTACTTGACACTGCTAGTGTTGGAGGCTATATTCTCCCCACCCTGATTGGGTCTGGGCTGTGGCTCCTGCTTCTTTCCAGTTTTTCTTGTTCCTTCCCTGATTCTAAACTTAGACCTTTGCCTTGTAGGCATCTCTTTGAGGTACTCAAAGAGTATTTCTACACATTTATGTAGATCATGCAAAACTGGTTTTTGTAAATGGGCAACTAAAAACTCTCAAAAACAGGAAAAAAATCTTAATTTATTTTCTACTCATCTTATTTTCTTCACATTTCAACCTGGTGGGAATTCAGGGTCAAGTAAACCGTGCTTTCCCTAAGGCATTATAATTACTTCCTTCTTTCAAATTTAAAGTCTTTTAACTTTCCTTCAAAACTTCTCTTCTATCCATGGTTTTCTCATCATTTTCACATTCTTTCATTTCTTGTTTGGATTACTGTTATGGGCAAAATTGTATACCACACAAATTCATATGTTAAAGCCCTAACCACTAGCACTTCAATATAGGCCTAATTTAGGAGATAAATCTTTTAAAGACATGATCAAAATGAGGCCATTATGGTGAGCCTTGATCCAGTCTGGGCAGAAAAGAGAAAATCTGGAGACCCTGAGGACACTGGGGGTCTGTGTGTGCACAGAGGAATCTTGCGGTGAGGACACAGCAAGAAAGTGGCCAAGGAGAGAGGCCCCAGGAGGAAGCAAGCCTGCTGATGCACTGATCTTGCACCTCTAGCCTCCAGAACTGTAAGAAAAATCAGTTTCTGTTGTTAAAGGCACCCAGTCTGTGGTATTTTTTTTTGGGGGGGGGGGACAGCCCTAGTTTACTAATATAACTACTAAAAAGCATAAGGCAGTTGGAACTCAGCCTTCAGTCATCTTAAGAGCCAGCAGAGTGATCTTTTTAAAATGCATAAAACTCAGTTACTGGAAATCTATTTATCTTGAGACATTTGGATCAGCTTGGTTAAACCATTCAATTTTAAAGTAGGAAAGACAATTGCTCTTCAAATTTCTCAACTTGGTTTTCATGGTCCCTATGGATCCATTCCTGCAACTCTAAGTAATGTATGTGTTGAATACTCTGCCAGTTGGTACACAACATCTGATGATCTTTACCATTGTCCACAAAAAATTAAATTAATTCATGATTTTGTGACGGTTTCAACTTTACTTAAGTTTTCACACGCTATGGGAGGAAACGGTATCATGTACTGCACAGTCCTCTGCCTCCTAAATGGTTTTCCCTTTGACATTGCAGTGGCTTCCCAAACCAGTAACTCACTGTGTGATTATCCCCACAACCTCCTGAAATATAAACTCTAGCTTCCCTTCCCTTACTGGACCTATCTCACTTCCTCAGCCCTTAGTTACCCTGGTGATCAGTAAGTTATTCTGCTGTTCTTTCCTTTTACACAGAAGTCTAAGCATATTACTCCCTTGCTTGAAACTCCTTCTCCATTTCCTGACTGCTTAGATGCAGAGCCTAGACTCTAGACCAAAATTCCAAGATCTCTGCAATTTTCTCCTTCCACCTTCCAACATACATCACAACTGAAGCCACACAGAGCACATTTAGCTGTGATGAACACGGCAGCTTCTCTGTCCTGGAATTAGATGCCTGAACCAAAGATGTCAACTGTTATACCTTCGCCTGCTTCCTCACTGCTCTCTGTGGGACAGAAGCTCTTTTCTCTTGAACCACCCTCCATAGACAGCTTTCAGGTACTTTGGCCTCTCAAAATGCCTGGCACAAAGCAGGTACTCAATAATAATCATGTGATGAATCAATATGTGAACAAGAGAGCAAATACACAGCCACATTCAAAATCTTTCAAGAAATCTCACTGCTTAGAGGAAAGTCCACAATGAATTTTGATGTCAAGAGCCTCCTAGAATCTATGCCAAGCCTGTTTCTCCCAACTTCTCACTGGTTCCCACTCCATCATTTTAGACTCCTTAAATTCTTGTCAGAAACATTAAAGGCAGGCCCTGCTTTCTGGAGGGAATGACTTCCTAAAGGCCTCTGACTTTACCTGTGTAACTGGTGATACCGTGGAGGATTTTTTCACTCTGGCTCTCTCTCTTCCTAGAATGAAGCAGAGAGACCGTGAGCCTCACAGACCTCTTCCAATGTGAAAATAATACAGGGAGTGGCCAGAAAAGAACATTGCCCAGTCAATTGCTACCTTAGGTGGAGGGTTTGCAGTTTCCCCCTTTAAAAGATAACTCAAATGAGGAAATGATGGGCATGCTGAGACCTAAAGAACCATGGAGTCTCTTTCAGCTAAAATTCTTCTACCAGATGTCCCCTCTTCCACCTGAACCTTGTAATCTTGTAGCATTTCCCCCTCAAGAATTCCCAAATGTCACTTTCTTGGACAGATACAAAGACTATGATCGGGAAAGAGGCAGTGATTTCCCCAGTGTCATCCAGCAACTACGGGAAAAGCCAGGACTAAAACCCAGGTTTCCTAGAGGGTGAGCTTGCTCTTTACATATCACCCTGCTGTGTCCCATCCTGTGGAAGTTGGGGAGGTGGAGGTACTTGTTCTGAACAATCTTCAATCCCTGTCCTCTCCCAACTGATCTGTAAGGGATCTGCAGTAACAGGCTTTGATTAAGCTTTAATGAGAGTCCTTATCTTTAGGATACGGTCTCATGTTGAGGAGGTAGAAGGGGTGTGAGGAGCTACAGGCAGGCAGCATGAGAAGAAACAGGAGGTTTGGAAGAGAAAACCATTAAACCCTGTCTCCCTGAGGATTTGCCACGTGGGACTATGAGAAGACTGTAACTGTTTTTTCTTAAACTTCCATCAAACCACATATATTTTTATTTAGGGGAAAAAACATTTAAAATTACAAACATGCTTACCAATAAAAATGTAATATGGCAATAATGAAAGCTGCAGAAATAATATCCATGAAAATCCACATGAACAGATAGAACTTTGGTGTCTGCAAAACAGAAAACACAGTTATAGGCATTTACAGTTGGAGAAGATTGTAGATCATGTGCATCAAGTCCCTTGCTTGAGTGGGAATGGAGAGGGGGCAGAGCACGAGGAGGAACCTTGATTCCCGGGACTGAAGTCAAACACAGAGAATACCTGCTGCTAACCTAACAATCCCCCCTTACATGTGCCGAGGGCTCTACAAGGACTAAAACACTTCACACACATCATTTCCCTGGACACTCAACAGAGGTCTAAGGGAGTCCTAGAGATATCACATAGCAATTCTTCTCTGGACCCAGGACTACAGCCCAAGTTCCTTGACTTCCAAGTGCTCTATGTGTTCATGGCACAGTTTCCCAAACCTGGCTGTGCATCCAAATCTACCTGAGCTGCAGCCTTTCGTAATACAGCTTCCTGGGCCTCATTAGCGACTCAGGAATCAGAATTTCTGCATCTCTAACAAGCTCCCCGGAAACAAGCAACCAGTCTGTGAACCAGCATTTAGGAAGCATTCTTCTAAGTCATTGTGCTTCAAATAAGCATGCTGAAATTATAATTCTTAACTAAGACTAGCATGCCTACTTCTTGAGGCTCCTTGACTGAATCACCCATTTTATAGACCTCCATCTCCTAGCTTCTCTTGTATGAGTTTTTAAACTCCCTGGTTTGATCTTCCCTTTCTACTTTCATCATTTCACCTCCAATACTACATGATGGTACAGGGTCTGGCATTTGTTTCTTTCTTATGCCATTTTCCACTCTATCCCAAGGTCTTTTCTTGGATTGATTAGTAGAAAGAAAGAAAAGAAAAGAAATGATAGTAATGATTTTATTAGTAGTAATTATAATAATATTATCATTATTATATTATATAATACAATATATAATATATAAAAACACAATACATATAATAAAATAAATATAATATATAAAAGTATATAATATCATCATTATAATTATTATCATAACAATAACACAAATGATGGTGATAATGATGAGAACTAATATTAATGAGCAATTATAGGAGCTAAGGAAGTGTTCTAAGCATATTAAAGGTATTTTCACAGCTAATCCTTCAAACAGCACTAGCAGGCAGGTACAGCAGAAGCTTTCAACCAAGTTCCACTAATCTAAGGCTCCTAATGCCCTCTCAGAACCTGACCAATGCCTTGGCCTGCTCCAGGATGCCCACCAGGTAGGCTGCACAATCTAAGAATCAGTTGTTTTTACTGTCCATATGGCTTTAGAACAGCTGCACTTGTTATGATTGTGTGGTGTAATTAAATGTTACTTAGATCTGTAAAAGCTGAGTAAAAAAACATGGCATTTTCAAAGGATACTAAGTCAATGCTTTTTAAAAGTTGATGATGACAGAAAAAGTCATTAAAAAAAATAAACTGCAGGAGTTCCTTGGTGGTGCAGTGAATAAAAATCTGCCTACCAATGCAGGAGATGCAGGAGACACAGGTTCAATCCCTGGGTTGGGAGGAACCCTGGAGGAGGAAATGACAACCCATTTCAGCATTCTTCCCTGGAGAATACCATGGACAGAGGAGCCTGGTGGGTTACAGTCCGTAGGGTCACAAAAAGACACGACTGACATGCACACACTCACTGAAGGGGACGTGTGATCAATCCCTGCTCTGGGAAGAGTTCACACACTGCAGGGCAAACTAAAGACCATGTGCCACAGCTGCAGAGTGTGCACTTCAGAGACCGCAGGCCGCAACTCCTGAGCCTGTGCGCCGCAACTACCGAAGGCCACGTGTTCCAGCGCCCAAGAACTACAATTCCCGAGGCCGGTGTGCCCTGGAGCCTGTGTTCTGTGACAAGAGAAGACACTGAAATGAGAAGCCTGCTCGTTACAACAAAGAGTAGCTTCTCCTTGCTGCAACTAGAGAAAGCCCGTGCAAAGCAACAAAGGCCCAGTGCAGCCCTAGATAAATAAGTAAAAATAAACTGCAAATGAATTAGATGTGAGTGACACACGAAGAGACTGGGGGTGATGGGATTATTATAAAAATCTGGGTGGATTCCCCGTTCTCCCAATGACTTTAGGTTTTTGTTGTGCTTTAAGACTTGGACATGACTTAGTGACTGAACAACAACAAAAAAGGAAACAAACTTAGAAATCATAGCTGGTTCATTTGGAAGTATATATAAACAAGTGAATACAGAATTCAATCAGCTAAAAAACCCTCAAAGGAAAGACCTTGAGTCTATGTCAAAAGGTGAGTGAATATTTTAAAATGTATTAGGTATGTATGCAGTGGATTGCTTATAAGATAATCACAGTATTCAGCCCCAAATGAAGGCATGTATGTAATATGACTTGGTTGTTCCTCTCTATCAAGAGCTAACGTCTGTTGCTACCTGCCCTACCTTGAATCTGGACTGGACCATGTCATTATCTTTGGTCTGCGGAACATTAGCAAACACCAGATTGGGAGATCCTTAGAAAGGCACATGCATTGAGGCTTGACCTCTCTCACTGCTGAGAACCCAGCACCACCAGGCAAACACGAGTAAAGCTGGCCTCCTTGAGGATGAGTGACCAAAGGAAGGGAGACCACAGTCATTCCAGGTAAGACCCTAGACATGTGGATGAGGCCATCCTAGACACCCAGTCCAACCAAACTGGTTGAGACCAGAGAAAGTGCTCAGCCATTATACAGAATGTGACAAACAAGTATTTTAAGCCAGTAAGTATTAGGTAGGTTTTTTCGACATGATCAAATTCAGGCTTAGACCAAAGAAAGTGGGGAAAACCACTAGGCCAGTCAGGTACGACTTAAATCAAATTCCCTGTTAATACACAGCGGAGGTGATGAATAGATTCAAGGGATTAGATCTAGTAAGCAGAGTGCCTGAAGAACTGTGGGCAGAGGTCCAGAATACTGCACATGAGGCAGTGAACCAAACCATCCCAAAGACAAAGAAATGCAAGAAAGTAAAATGGTTATCTGATGAGGCTTTACAAACAGCTGAGGAAAGGAGAAGTGAAAAACAAGAAAGAAAGGGAAAGGTATACCCATCTAAATGCAGGGTTCCAGAGAATAGCAAGGAGAGACAAGAAGGCCTTCTTCAAAGAACAGCATAAAGAAACAGAGGACGATAACAGCAAGGATAAGATTAGAGATCTCTGCAAGAAAACTGGAAATATCAAAGGAATATTTCACCAAAAGATAGGCACAATAAAGGGCAGAAATGGTAAAGGCCTAATAGAAGCAGAAGAGATCAAGAAGAGATGGAAAGAGTACATAAAAGAACTGTACAAAAAAGATTCTAATGACCCAGATAACCATGATGGTGTAATCAGTCACCCAGAGCTAGACATTCTGGAGTATGAAGTCAAGTGGGCCTTAGGAAGCACTGCTGCCAATAAAGCTAGTGCAGGTGATGGAATTCCAGCAGAGCTACTTAAAATCCTAAAGATGCTGCTATTAAAGTGATGCATTTAATATGCCAGCAAATTTGGGACATGCAGCAGTGGCCACAGGACTGGAAAAGGTCAATCCTCATCTCAGTTCCAAAGAAGGTACTAAAGAATGTTCAAATCACTGGACAACTGCTCTCATCTCCCATGCTAGTAAGGTTATTCTCAAAATCCTCCAAGCAAGGCTTCAGCATTATGTGAAACAAGAACTGCCAGGTGTTCAAGCTGTGTTTAGAAAAGGTAGAGGAGCCAGAGATCAAATTGACAACATTTGCTGGATCATTGAGAAAGCAAGAGAATTGCAGGAAAACATTTACCTCCATTTCATCGACTATGCCAAAGCCTTTGACTGTGTATATCATAACAAACTGTGGGACGCTCTTAAAGAAATGGGAATACCACATCATTTTACCAGTCTCCTGAGAAACCTGTATGCGGGTCAAGAAGAAACAATACCCTGTATGGAACAACTGACTAGTCCAGGATTGAGAAAGGAGTATGACAACTGACTAGTCCAGGATTGAGAAAGGAGTATGACAAGGCTCTTATTGTCATCCAGTTTGTTTGACCTATATGCTGAGCACATCATGCGAAAGGCACCTCTGGATGAGTTACAAGCTGGAATCAAGATTGCTGGGAGAAACAGCAACAACCTCAGATATAGGGACGATACTGCTCTAATGGCAGAAAGCAAAGAGGAATTAAAGAGCCTCTTGATTAGGGTAAAGGAGGAGAGTGAAAAAGCCGGCTTAAAACTCAACATTCAAAAAACTAAGATCGTGCCATCCAGTCCCATACTTCATGGCAAATAGAAGGGGAAAAAGTGAAAGCAGTGACAGATTTTATTTTCTTGGCCTCTAAAATCACTGTAGCTGGTGAGTGCAGCCATGAAATTAAAAGAAGATTGCTTCTTGGCAGGAAAGCTATGACAAACCTAGACAGTGTGTTAAAAAGCAAAGACATCACTTTGCAGACAAAGTTATGTATCAGTCAGTTCAGTTCAGTCGCTCAGTAATATCCGACTCTTTGTGACCCCATGGACTGCAGCACACCAGGCTTCCCTATCCATTACCAACTCCTGGAGCTTACTCAAATGCATGTCCATCAAGTCAGTGATGCCATCCAACCATCTCATCCTCTGTCCTCCCCTTCTCCTCTCACCTTCAATCTTTCCCAGTATCAGGGGCTTTTCCAATGAGTCAGTTCTTTGCATCAGGTGGCCAAAATATCGGAGCTTCAGCTTCAACATCAATCCTTGTTATTCAGGATTGATTTCCTTTAGGATTGACTGATTCGATCTCTTTGCAGTCCAAGGGACTCTCAAGAGTCTTCTCCAACACCACAGTTCAAAAGCATCAATTCTTCAGCACTCAGCTTTCTTTATAGTCCAAATCTCACATCCATAAATGACTACTGGAAAAACCATAGCCTTGACTAGACGGACCTTTGTGGGCAAAGTGATGTCTCTGCTTTTTAATATGCTGTCTAGTTTGGTCATAGCTTTTCTTCCAAGGAGCAATGGTCTTTTGATTTCATGAGCATAGTCACCATCTGCAGTAATTTTGGAGCCCCAAAAAATGAAGCCTCTGTTTCCACTGTTTCCCCATCTATTTGCCATGAAGAGATGGGACCAGATGCCATGATCTTAGTTTTCTGAATGTTGAGTTTTAAGCCAACTTTTCACTCTCCTCTTTCACTTTCATCAAGAGGCTCTTTAGTTCTTCTTTGCTTTCTGCCATAAGGATGGTGTCAACTGCATATCTGAGGTAATTGATATTTCTCCCAGCAATCTTGATTCCAGCTTGTGCTTCATCCAGCCCAGCATTTCTCATGATGTACTCTGCATATAAGCTAAATAAGCAGGGTGACAATATACAGCCTTGACATACTCCTTTACTGATTTGGAACCAGTCTTTTGTTCCATGTCCAGCTTCTTGACCTGCATACAGATTTCTCAGGAAGCAGGTCAGGTGGTCTAGTATTTCCATCTCTTGAAGAATTTTCCATAGTTTGTTGTGATCCACACAGTCAAAGGTCTGCAATCAAAAGTCTGTATAGTCAAGGCTGTGGTCTTTCCAGTAATCACATATGGATGTGAGAGCTGGACCATAAAGGCAGAGCACTGAAGAATTGATGCTTTCAAACTGTGGTGTTGGAGAAGATGCTTGAGAGTCCCTTAGAGAACAAGAAGATTAAACCAGTCAATCTTAAAGTAAATCAACCCTGAATATTCATTCGAAGGACTGAGGCTGGCTAAAGCTCTGCTGTGGGCTTAGTCACTCAGTCATGACTGAGTCTTTGCAACCCCATGGACTGTAGCCCGCCAGGCTCCTCTATCCATGGGGATTCTCCAGGCAAGAATACTGGAGTGGGTTGCCATGCCCTCCTGCAGGGGGTTTTCTCAACCCAGGGGTTGAATCCAGGTCTCCCACACTGCAGGCGGATTCTTTACCATATGAGCCCCAAGGGAAGACCTGGATAAAGCTACCTGATGCAAATAACTGACTCACTGGAAAAGACCCTGATGCTGGGAAACACTAAAGGCAGAAGAAGAGGATGACAGATGATGAGATGGTTGGATGGCATCACCAATTCAACAGACATGAACTTGGGCAAACTCCAGGAGATAGTGAGGGACAAGAAAGCCATGGGGTGCTGCAGTCCATGGAGTCATGAAGAGTTGGACAAGACTTTGCGACTGAAGAACAACAACAAAAATGCTAACAAACCACACATCATTTATTTCACAATTCCTTGTTTTAAATTTTTGAATTAACAGACCATTAAGCAGAGAGGATTATATTGGATAAAAATGCTTCCCACTAGTACTTTTAATCCTCAATTTACAAATAAGCAAACTGAGGCCAAGACAGGTTAACTAACATTTCCAAGTTCACACAATAGGTGGCCAGGGTCTGAACCTGCATATTCTAACTCAGGGTGAGGGTTGCTTAGGAGGGTCCCTGGGATACAGGCTCCACCTTCTTGAACAAACTGACCTTGGGTTCTTTAAAACAAGTCCAGGCCAGGTGTAGACAGAAGTTTTTGACTTATGTCTTTTACACTCTGAATTTCAACTCCAATGAATTTATTAACAATTCAAATATTAAAATGAAAATTTTACTTAATAAAGTTTTATTTAATATATCCAAAGGGACAACTTTCAGACATTACTGATGTAGGAGGATAGGATTATGGAGGGCTATACTGCTTTCTAACTTATGCATTTTATAATGATTAATTTTATATACTGAACAAGTTTACTCTGTAATCAATTTTTAAAAATAAAATTGTTAGAAAAGTATGTAGTCTATGCATGAAGGGGGATAGTACAGAGACAGACAAGTGGAGAGGCTTCATCTATGCCAAGGGACCTGCCATCCAAGGTTTCCTTGAGGGTCATCTGCAGAGCGCTGCCCAAGGCACCCAGGGAGAAGGGGTAGGCAGTTTTACACTGCCACCATAAGACCTCAATGCAGTACTGGCCCTGTGAGATTGTGCGCTTGGCCCCAATCACCTCGCACCTGCTCCTGACTCTGATCAAGTCAGAAAGAAGGGCTAGTGAGGCTGGAGCTATGGAGAAAGCAACTTAAAATATTTAAGCTTCTCATTTAGGTGTCTCTGACTAAAACTTTAATGCTCAAGGCAGTTTAGACTTTGGATTATTACTCTGGATTAGACACGATGCCGAGCTGAGGCTTCTTGGTGATTAAAAAGAACTTTAAAAATTATCTCAGAGTGACTAGAGAAACTATGGAATCTGAGTGAGATCTTATTCAGGGGTAGGGAAAGACCTAGCTCACAGAGCAGATTTCTGCTGTGGGCTATTGTGCCTGACTCAGTCATCCTGCTCTATGCTGATAAAAAAAAAAAAAAATACAGGCTCTATAGCAGTTAACTGGTTAGCTGGGGCTCTCTTCATAGATAAGTGATGGGATTTAGTTGCAAGTGTAAACCAGGTGTTCAGATCCCCATGCCTCTAACCATAAGCAGTAGCTGGATATTCACACTCTCCTTTTCAAAAGTATTTTGCTTAGGACACACAGTGTTCATTTTGGAATCAACTATACTTGGTTTTCTCCGCAAACCTCATTGTCACTATCATTGTTGCTGCGCCTTCAGAAAGGAGGGGTTGCAGCAACAAAACTCTAGAGTCAGACCTCATTCTGAATCTTGCATCATGTGATGATGTCAAAGATCTTAAAAACATCAAATTTCAGTTTTACCACGGGGATAATCCTAGTGGCTAACCCCGAGGGCTGAATTACGTTATGCGTGAAAGACACATTGTGAGGATTCAAAAAAAGTGATTATTATACCAATAATAACAATTTATGCCTGAAAATCACAGAAGGATCTGGGTAAGAGAATAGTGACTGCCCCCTCTCCAATCTCACATAAGTCTCTTCTCTTAACTAGTTCCCCTGGATACTGCACAGTGGGCAAGGTAGGGTGGAGAGGGGACAGAGACTCCTATTGTACCAGACTTGGAAGGACAATCTGGGCAACCAGCTCACCATGAAGTAGTAAGGGTGATTTATCTTCTTCAGGACCTGAAGATTGTCTGTGGTCACTGATTGAATCCTGGAGCACCAGGCCAGTGAGAAGAGCCAAGGTTCATTGACGAGGTATAAGTTGATGCTGATGTTAGCTGATTTATATTCTCTGGGAAGAAAAATGAACCCACAGGAAATTAAGACTTAATCTCACACTCATCATCTAAAAGGGAATCGGTCACCAGATTTGTAAAAGGTTTTTGCTTAAATCACAAGAAGCAGTTGGTTATGTGACATCTTATGATATGACATGCTGAATTAGCTCATGTTGCAACGAGGACAAAGGACTAGATTTAATACCTTTGCTCCTGTACCAACAGTAATATTTTATTTTTCTATTCTCTAAATTTTTATTGAAATATAGTTTATTTACAGTGTTGTGTTAGTTTCAGGTTCACTTAAAGTGATTAAGTACATGCCTATATCTAAATCTATATTCTTTTTAGATACTTTCCAGTGTAGGTTATTATAAGATCTTGAGGATAGTTTCCCGTGCCATACACTAGGTCCTTGTTGGCTAGCTATTTCATATATAGTAGTCTGTTTATTTTAATTCCAAACTTCAAATTTATCCCTCCCCCCTATCTCTTTGGTAACTATAAGCTTGTTCTCTATGTTAACAGTAATAGTAGTATTTTAGTAAATTATGTGCCCTAAGACAAAAAAGGAAGAAAGAAAGGGAGGGAGTGAGGGAGGGAGGGAGGAAACAGGAAAGCCCTGTTAGAAGGAAAAGGCAGTCCACTGCAGTATTCTTGAGAGCTTGTTGGGAGGTTCTAGCACTATCGGGGATGGTCGTCCTCTTCAACGGAGCGTGCAGCTTCAGGAGGGATGCACATGGAGCGGTGAGGGAAGAAGGGGACACCCGCCTAGCCAGCCAGATCAGCCGAATCAACCCTGGCAATCAATGGGGTGACAGATGTCGCAACCAGATCGCCCTCACATCCCCACTCCAGTATTCTTGCCTGGAAAGTATCATGGACGGAAAAGCCTGGCAGGCTACAGTCCATGGGGTTGCAAAGAGTTGGATGTGACTGATGTCATGTAAATATTCCTATAATTTGCACCCATAAGCTGATATGCTCCAGCTCCAGCACACTATTGTGTAGCAAATATACTTACTTTCAGCAGAATGCTTAACACCCATTACTCTACCTGCCTTCCTATCAGTCTTCTTTACTTGACTGTAGCAAATTAAAAGCAGAGACTCTGTGCTACTCATCTCTCTATATCTAGTACCTGATTCATAACAGTTAACTGAAGGAAAAAAGAAATGAATACCAATCTGGTAAATATTTATACTTCAAATATAAAGAATTTTTTAAAGCACTCAGTAGGGAAAATGGAACCCAAATTTCCCTATGCACTGCATGCTAAGTCACTTCAGTCATGTCCAACTCTTTGCAACCCCATGGACTATAGCCCACCAGGCTCCTCTATCCATGGGATTTTCCAGGCAGGAATTCTGGAGTGGGTTGCCATTTCCTTTTCCAGGAGATCTTCCCAGCCCAGGCATCAAACCCACATCTTTTATGTCTCCTGCACTGGCAGTTTGATTCTTCACCACTAGCACCACCTCCATGTCAGTAGATATTTGTGCAGTCTATAGAGACAGAAAGTAAGTAAAGCATCTAGTAATTCTAATCAAGTTGTCACTTTCAGGGAAAACTTCTCACAAAATATACCATGTAACTCCCTTCAGAAAATTTGTTTTAACCCTGAGATGTCATAGCATATTGGAAACAGCTGTGTGCAGTCTGCATTTGAATCTAGCTTTGTCTTGTACTAGCTTCGCAGGCTGTTAGGCTCAGTATATAAACTGTAAGATAAAAATAATACTACCACTTTCACAGTAGCACTTGCAATTAGTTACCCAATATGCTAGAACTGTCTCTAAGACAATTCTTCAGATCACCAGAAGATTAGGAAACAGAAATAAGGAAACAGTAGCAAAACTTTTTGAAGCCAACACACAAAAACCATTCACAATTTCTATATATTAATAATGAGCCTATAGAAACTGAAACACAACATAACATTAACAATTACCCCAAAGAAATATAAATACATAGGTATTAACAAGCATAGGATCTGTAAGCCCAAAACTACAAAGTATTGATGAAGATAATCAAAGAATATTTTAAAAGTGAAGAGACACATGTATTTATGAATTGGAAAAGTCAACATCATAAAGATGTCAATTCTCCTCAAACTGATCTGTAGGTTAATCCAATTCTTATCAAAATACCACCAAGTTTTCCTTGGTTTGTTTTGTTTGTATTTTCTGTACAATTAACCTGTGCGTGACTGTAGCCTGCCAGGCTCCTCGGTCCTAACCGACTCTAAAATGTATGCCAAAAGGCTCAGTCCCAAATTAACTAAAATTATATTGAAAAAGAAGAATAAAGTGAGAGAGAATCACTGCACCCAGTATTAAGGCATATTGTATAGCTACAGTAATCAAAACAATGTGGTATTAGGGAAGGAACAGACATATGGAACAGTGGAACATAATTTTAAACCCAGAAATAGACCCACACAAATGTCAAAATGATTTTTTTACAAAGGCCCAAAAGAAATGTAATGGGATAAGAAGAAGTTTTTTCAACAAACTGGACTAGAGCAATTGGCCAAAAACATATAGGCACAGGCAAAAAGAAAAAGAAAAAAACATAAATTTTCAACCTAATACCACACACTTAATATAAAAATTGATTCAAATGGATCATAGACAAATACATAATGTAAACTATAAAATTTTCAGGAAAAACTGAGGTCTGTGGGCTAGACAAAGAACTCTTAGACTCGACAGTAAAAGCATGATTCATAAAAGGGAAAACTGATGTTAGACCTAATCAAAAATTTAAAACTCTTGTTCTGTGGAATACTGTGTAGGAGATGCTACAGAAATAGACTGGGACAAAATATATGCAACAAAATATCCAACAAAGGATTATATCTATAATACAGAAAGAACTCTCAAAATTCAACAATAAAATTCAGCTAAGAATGATAAGACATTTCATTGAAGAGGACAGACCAAGGCAACTAAGAACATAGTAAGACGTTCAGTATCATTACCCACCAGAGAATGAAATTAAAACCACAGTGGGATATCACTACACACCTATAGAAGGGCTACAGTAAAAATGACAATGGCTGGAGTAGGAAATGGCAACCCACTCCAGTATTCTTGCCTGGAAAATTCAAAATTACATGGACAGAGGAGCCTGGCAGGCTACAGTCCATGCGGTCACAAGAGTCAGACTCAACTGACTTCAACTTTCAAAAGAAAAAATGAGAAAGAAAAAAAAATCACCAGCTAACAGTCACATATTTGGTTCTGAAGGACAACTGTTATTTGATACTGTTTTGATTTCTGGAGAAGATCAGATTTTTTTAGTACTCATGTATAGGTTTTCTCCTTTTCTTTAGTATTAAAGGACAAAGTTGAAAGAGTATTCTGTATATCTATGAAAATTAAAGTGCATATCAAATGCATATCCGATCACACAAGGATTGATTTATTAGTACTTGTACAGCCTTGTGAAAAGTGCATGATGCACCAGGTCCATTGGGGGCACACACATTCTCACAGAAAAGAGCAGCATTTCAGGGTCAGGAACCATGGTAAAAACCACCATATGATCCAGCAATCCCACTCCTAGGCATATACCCTTAGGAAACCAAAATTGAAAAAGACACATGTATCCCATTGTTCACTGCAGCACTATTTACAATAGCTATAATATGGAAGCATGTCCATGCCCATGGATGTCCATCCATCGACAGATGAATGGATAAAGAAGTTTTGCTACATAAACACAATGGAATAACTCAGCCATAAAAAGGAATGCATTTGAGTCAGCTATGATGAGGACAATGAACCTAGAGCCTATTATACAGAGTGAAGTGAGTCAGAAAGAGAAAGATGAATATCGTATTCTGACACATATATTCAAAATCTAGAATGGTAGTGAAGAACTTATTTACAGGGCAGCAATAGAGAAACAGACATAGAGAATAGATTTATGGACATGGGGAGAGGGGAGGAGACAGTGAGACGTGTGGAAAGAGTAACATGGAAACTTGCATTACCATATGTAAAATAGATAGCCAAGAGGAATTTGTTGCATGGCTCAGGAAACTCAAAATAGGGGCCCTGTATCAACCTAGAGGGGTGGGAGCAGGAGGGAGATGAGAGGGAGGTTCAAAAGGGAGGGGGTATATGTATACCTATGGTTGACTCATGTTGAAGTTTGACAGAAAACAATAAAATTCTGTAAAGTAATTAACCTTCAATAAAAAGTAAAAAGAAAACAAACAAAACTCTTACAAAATGTTAAATTTAAAATATTGAAAACTTTAATTTTCATATCAGATATTTTAATATCCATAAAGCAATTAAATCACAAAATAATTTCTATTCGGTGTTGGTGCATTAAATGGGCTAGCACTGATTTGAGATAACAGAATAAAATGAACTATGGACTAATATATATAAATAAATCCCAGGGTAGGTTAAATAAGTATTTTGGAAACCAATTATGTTCAAAATCTAAAAATAAATGGAAATATATGACTTAAAAAGACACAAAACCAGTCTCCATGCCTTGCAGATGGCTGATTAGAAGCTTCAGGGATTTTCACAACATAAATCTTTGTTTTGTGTGCTGTTTATTCAAACAAATTAATTCAACAGTGTACAATAAAAATTTTCTCAAAGCAAAAACAAAAAAATAAATGACAATGGCAAAAACTGGTAAGGACAGAGAGGCTCTGAATCATCATACATTGCTGGTGGGATGTAAAGAGGTACAGGCCCTCTGAAAATGTTTGGAAGTGTCTTACAAACTAAATAAAATTTACAAAGTTTCTTATAAAACTTTGAAAACTACCATACCCCAGCAATTGTATTCTTGCCATTAATCCATTAATCCATCCTTGCTATTAATTCTAACCATTAATACCATAGAAGTAACAACTTATATTCATGGCAAACAATTCTCAGAAGATAGCAGAAAAAGAAGCCCCGGGAACCTGATCTCATCCTGGACAATTACACTGGCGAATCTGTCTAATGTAACTATTAATATTTTTATTCTATGGAGT